ATATTTGATTTATCAACAATCCTTTTACAGAGCATTCGTAGAGTATTGTTTGATCTATCAGCAGTTCTTTTATAGAGATCAAGAGTAAGCATGAGGTCGAGAGCTGTTGGACGGGAGAGTTGCAAAGTTTTTGGTGGAACGATAGAGTGTAAGCTTGAGTCAAAGTGAAATGTACTTTGCTTCAAACATAGTGGATCGTTTCGCTTGAGACGACGGAATCTCTGAGATATTTCTCATAATGATTTAAAAATCTTGCTGTCATCTCTCAAAATTTATTTACTTTAATTGCACTTTATTTTTGCTTTGTGGGTTGATTAATTTATTTTCATTTTGATAAATTTAATTAAGCAAAAATAATATAAAAGGGCAAGTTGAAACTAATACCTATTAAAATAGGGAATATAAGAGCTATACTGCAAGTAGGTCAACCACCTAAAAAAAATAACCAACTCTCTATTAAGCACAGGATAAGATTCTTTTGAATTTATCTATATTCATTAATATCTAGATTCTTTTTAGTTCAATATTGACTAATAAGAAGGGTTTATGGCACTTGTACCATGGCTCCTTTGTGTGTGTGTTGTTTAACTATTTTAGAGGCCTATTAAACTTAATCAAAGAGTTAAGCTTTTGAGATCAAAACACCTTAAAATTTTGATGTAAAAACACCAATAAGTGAACTCTTCTCTTTATTCAATAATGTATAAGATCCCATATATCTGTTCTTATTTTACCTTTCAACATTGTTATATATATTATAACCATATGATTACATTCTTAATAATAGATAAACGAATTAACATTCCAGGCTTACATAGGAATTGAAAATTCCATCCAATGCTTCCTGCCTTCTGGTCATAAAATCTTATTCACCAGCTGAAGGATGATAAGCAATAGGAATCACACACAAATCTCTTTTCCTGTTAACTGTTGCACCAAAAACCTCATCTATGTCAAGATCTTATAGCTTCTATCCCTCGGGAAGTTTCCAGTCAAAGTGATACAATAAATTTGCCAGTGCAAGCTCAACATTAGCAATCCTGAATGACATGCTATGACACATTCTCCTTCCAGCACCAAATTATAGATATTGAAAATGATTTCCCTTGTAATCAATTGAACTATAAATGAACCTCTATGGAAGAAAGCTCTCGGGATCACTTTAGTTTTCAGGATTGATACTAATAGCCCATACATTAACAAGTACTTGAGTTTTTGCAGGTATCTCATATCCATCAATTTCACATCTCTCTTTGCTCTCTCTTGGAACTAATAAAGGGATAGAAGGTTGTACTCTTAGAGTTTCTTTGATAACTAACTTAATTAACTCAATTCAAGTATGTCTTCTTGATTAACAATATTTCCTTTTTTTTACATAAAACCTGTTTCACCTCAGTGCCTTTTTCATAACTCTTAGGTTTTTCAGCAATTCTGACATTGTCCATGCTAAAGTTGTAGAAGATGTGTCAATCCCGTTCCTGGAAGAGCATTGAAATCGAGTTAAAAATAATTTGTGGAAGTTAATTCATTGATATTGATAGAAGCAGAAAGTAAATGTACTGACCAAAACAGTGCACTTGATGTCTGTCATACTTAAGGGGATCTCAAGATTACCCTCATCCTGAAGTCTTAGAAGAACATCTACCAGATCTTCATGACTAGCTTCACCATCACTGGTATGTGTTGATGCCTTCCTAGCTTTATATTCATCAATGATGTTGGTCAACACCCTATCAAGATTTTGATGCTTTTTCTCGAGTCTAGGCTTTAGCCCATTTATCCAAGCAAGCATTTTAACTAAAGGAAAGAGATCATCAACATTGAAACCTCCTGTTTTCTCTATGTTTTCCTTGATAAGTGCTATGAATTCTTTTTGCCTATGAAATGTTGAACCAATGGCCACCTTTGCAATGGTACTGCATGTCAATGAGGAAAGCTTTTCACTGAGATTCATCCGAGATCTTGAATGCGTTAAAATAGATTTGATGAAATTTGATGTCTCTTCTTCCCTGATGGGTCGAAATGATTGGACACATTTGGCACTTAAAAGCTAGAGGAATTATTCGGGTAACGATTTTTTAATACTCCCTCAGTAAATTGGTTGTCATGATTTATCTTTTTCATGCTGTCCAAAGTACTTGATCAAATTAAAAAGTTAAAGCAAAATAATTTTTTACATTTTCAATTTTTTATTTTTTATTTTTTTTTACTTTATTATGTATATATTCAAATTTGAGAGGATAATTTGATAAAGTTCTACTTGGAATGAGACAACTAATGTGTAGGGGTGAACAAATTGTTAGGAAACGTGCAAGTTTTAAAAAACTTTTGAGGGATTTTCATACATAGATCTTGATTTATCACATAGAGACAAGTTTTATGCAAAAATAAAAGATGATGTATCATTCAATTAACAGTTTGAATACTTACATCAAAGGTCTGAGTAAACCTTTAAATCTTTTCTCTAAAGTGAATGTTCTCACTTATTGTAGACCTCTTTAGGAATCACCAATATGCCTCGATGAACGACCTTGGAGTCAAGGCTTGTGGTAGCCTCTTTTAGAAGAGATAGCAAACCCTAAAATTTAGGGAGAGAGAATATATTTCTTTTTCTTCTTCTAAAAGTCACTCCCTAAAATATACATGGACCCATGTATATATAGGCAAAATAAAAATAAGAAAAGGAAACAATATATTCTCCTCCATCTCTAATTCAAATATCTCAATTCTAATAAGACTCCAATATCAACTTGGGCTATGGGTGAGAATCCTTTGGGCTTACTATTTTCTTGGCTACTATAAATTAATAATTGGTCTGGTCCATTAAACCGTGGACCCAATTCAATTAATTCATAAATTAATTTCTACTCCACTAAAAGAAATTAATTGCACTCTAATGAAATAGTAAATAACCGCTAAGTCAATGTTGCACTTTGACCCCTCTATACATAATTATTTATCAGATTATAAAGTCATCAATCCGACAACATAATTAATATAATTATTTTGTTACCTTTGATTATTTCCGGCATTATCACAATAAAATATTTGTTTGACAAAAATAATAATTTACTAAATAAATATATAGAAAACATTTTGTCTAAAACATACAAAGGCCTTCGAATTTAATTTGTGATCAACCATAATCAATGCAAAATAAATACAAGCAGCACTGATGCAAATATTGAGAATATAACCCTCTAACTATTAATTACATTACTACCCTAAGTGCCGATCTAAAGATCCCGAAGTATCCGCCGAACAAATCAAAGTAATTATTAATTAATAAAAGAGCCTATACTTCTGTCATGCTTGAGAGTCAAAAGCCATGACTGTGATAGAGAGTAATTGCATACGACAGCTCTCGCAATATATCTCAACCTATCGTGGACTCAGTTCAAGTCTTAATTAATTAAATGTCCATCCATAATTACCGACTTTAAACCATTTATGATTGCTTATTTATAACTTAGTATTAATTGCCATTACATACATATATAAATATATTTTGTAATCAAGTGGACACAATCAATTCCATAATGAATCGAAAAAATAATACATTCCATTCACCAATTGTATAATGCCTTAATAATAATATTCAGATAAGAAACTATGACTTTTACAATCCAAATAAGAATTTGCTATGTTAGAGCACACATATCCCAACACAAATAATCCATGAATATGCAAATCCGATCCGATCCGTGTCAATCGGATCAGCTTGCTACACCCACGGATTGGTGGCAGATTCAAAGAAATTGAATCCGTAGTTCATGGATCGGTTGATGGATTAGATTATTAAAATCCAATCCGATTCAATCCACAAGATTTATATATATTCAAAGAATGTATTATTAAATTTTATTAGTTAATGATTATTTATTTGACTCGAAGAATGTATTAGTTAATGGTCATTTAAATATATGAATTAATGTTGGTAAATTGAAATTTTATTTATTACGATATGGTTAAAAAATAAACAATATTGAATAGTTTAGAAAAAAATGATATCTGCAGATTTGATCCGATCCATCATTCCACGAATTTGATCCGTTATCCCACAAATTTGTGACAAATTAAGATTTTTTCAATCCGTTAAGAACGGATTAGATTAAATAAATAAATAGGCCAATTAACAAATAATTATAAAATTAGCTAATTGAGAGAGTGTATACCGTCACTTTCAATTTGGCCAAACATAACTCTTTTATGAAAAGTTGTCCAAATACAATTGTAGTAAAACGTATTTCAGCCGACCACCCAAATACATGATGCTTTTTTGTTTGCTTTCTCTCTTTTTTGCTCTTTGAGAGAAAAAGTTGATACTTGGGTCTCTTTCTCTCTCTAGCGTGCGCAGACTCTCTCTTTCTCTAGACGCGCGCAGACACACACTCTCTCTCTAAAATGCTAACTCCACGTATCATGTGTCCCCTCAAATTATGGGTCCCACAAGATACACTCTGACTCAGCTAATCGTCAGTGCTTTCATTTAACCGTCAGCGTGACTCAGCTTTAAAAATATCATTTCAGTAGAGATATTTGCGACCAACACAGTGTTGAGATTTTATCTTATAGTACAGCTGTATGATTGAATTATTACTCCTTAATTTAGGGTTAATTGGTAGGTAATTAGTTACCTATTTTAGCTAAATTCTATTATATAAAATGAGTGTAACAACATCATTGAAAGTATAGAATACAGTTTTTAATTCTCATATTCTATCTTTGAATTTGAAGATGGTATCAGAGCGATCATTGAACCGTATTTTTGAATCTCTTTGAATTTATCTGTGAAATTCACAGACCCATACACCCATTCACCCATTTTCCTTACTTAACAGAGAAGCGGTTCTTTGACTTTCTAGAATAATATATAAAATAAAAAATATATATATTATATATATATATATTTATTCAAATAAATATATATATATATAAAGAAATCATTATATGGGTTGAAACAATCTCCAAGAGCATGGTTTGGAAGATTCACAAAGTCTATGATAGCCTTTGGCTACCGTCAGAACAATTTAAACCACACGTTATTTCTGAAGAAACAACAGGGTAAGATCACTGCACTCATTGTATATGTAGATGATATGGTGGTTACAGGGAATGATCCTGAAGAAATGAAAGCTCTCAAGAAGTACTTATCCAGAGAATTCGAAATGAAAGATCTAGGTCCTTTGAGATATTTTCTTGGGATTGAAGTATCTCAATCTAATAAAGGAATCTTTACATCTCAAAGAAAATATGCCTTAGATCTATTACAAGAGATTAGCATGACAGCATGTCAACCAGCTGAGACACCAGTCGAAGAAGGATTGAAGTTATGTGTTGAGTCCAACCCAGTACCTGCTAATAAAGGAAGATACCAAAGACTTGTAGGGAGATTGATGTACTTAGCATACATGAGACCGGATCTGGCTTATGCATTGAGCATTGTTAGCCAGTTTATGCATGATCCTGGAGAGCGACATATGAATGTAGTTATGCAAATTTTGAGGTATTTGAAATCTAATCCTGGAAAAGGAGTTTTGTTCACTAAAAATGTTGGTTATCAAAACATAGATACATATACTGATGCTGACTGGGCTGGAGCTATAGATAATAGACGATCTACTTCTGGTTACTTTACTTTTGTAGGAGGTAATCTTGTTACATGGAGAAGCAAGAAACAAAATGTTGTTGCTCGCTCGAGTGCAAAAGCTGAATTCAGAAGTATGGCACTTGCACTTTGTGAAATATTGTGGTTAAGATTTCTCTTGCGGGATTTGGGTTATCTACCTGGGTAACCTATTCGATTATATTATGATAATAAAGCAGCATGTGATATTGTCCATAATATAGTTCAACATGATCGTACGAAGCATGTCAAAACAAACAGATTCTTCATTAAGGAAAAGTTGGGTGGGAAAATTATAGAGTTGCCTAAGATTCGATCTGAGGATCAACTAGCCGACAGTCTCACCAAAGCAGTCTCAAATCAAGTGTTTTTAAAATTTTTAGACAAGTTGGGCATGTGTGACATCTATGCACCAACTTGAGGGGGAGTGTTAAGATTTTATCTCATAGTACAGCTGTAGGATTGAATTATTTACTCCTTAATTTAGGGCTAGTTGGTAGGTAATTAGTTACCTATTTTAGCTAAATTATATTCTATAAAGTGAGTGTAACACCATCAATGAAAGAATCGAATACTGTTTTTAATTCTCATATTCTATCTTTGAATTTCAAGACATAGGGTATTTCCAATTAAAAGGTTGAGCACTAAGTAACACAATTCTTCTGAATAGGTATTGCTATCACGCTTCGAGTTCGCTTTCGCTCTTACGTTCCGCATGTGCTCTCGCTCAAATTCTCACTATTTATGACATAATTTTTCCGCTCTCACACTCTCGCTCTGACTCCCGCTCCCGCTCCTATTTTATGTGACTTAGGTTGAGCATTGTTTAATTTACTTTTGGAGCTTATTTTAAGATTAATTCGCATTCATGATATTTTATACTTTCTCTGTACTAAAATAAGTGTCATTCTTTTTTTTTTTTGTCTGTTCGAAAATAATTATCCACTTTCATTTTTCAAACAATATATTTCACATCTTTTCATATATGTCCTTTGAGTTTTAAATTTTAAACTTGAATATTAAAAAATTTAAAGAATAATTTAGTAACTTTTCAAGAGATAATACATATCCCACATGTCTTCTTAAAAATTATTACTCTCAAAAGCTACACTTAAATTAAGATGAAGAGAGTATGTCTTGTATACATAGACTTAAAACCATGACTTAGTATCGGAAAGAAAAAAATAATAATAAAACTTTGACTTATTTTCCAAATCTTTAACCACAGTAATATTTTATTCATACTTCTTCCATCCTCTAGAATGTTCTGTTCAACATTTTTGAGCTATGTACCAATTGACTAATAATATATGTATTGTTACAAATGTTTTCACAATGAAATTGTTATATTATATTTTACATATATATATATATATATATATATATATATGTGTTTTTTCTTTTATTTAATAAAAAATGATAGAAGAGACGAATTTTTAGGTTTTTTTAAATTGGTCAAAATTCTCTAGATTGACTCCAATTAAGATTATTTGAGGTTTGATATTGTGAATAGATCTCGTTGTTCAGCATCTGACTCGGTACCATTTTTTAAAAAATGTATGCGGGTTGGCGGTAACGTGCAGGCTGGTCCATTCATTTAAAACAAAACTTGTGCATCTCCAAGTCAAATAGAACGTCAAATCGAGTATGCTGTCAAATTTCTAACCAATAGCTATAAACAAGATTTTCACATATGCTAACAAAGTTAAGATTTTCAAACATAGGTAGACATAATTTGAAACCACATGTAACTTCTCTAAGGTGACCTGCAGTAGTTCCACCGACTCAACACGAGTAAAAAATCCCCTTGGTCAAAGTTTCCTCTAATTCTCCACAACGAAATCGAAATGGTGATTACCCAGGGAATAAGAATGTAATCACCCTCTCAGAGCAGTTTAACCTATCATGATGCTCCACTAAATTAATTTGAAGAGTGGTGTTTCGATCACACTTTAAAGGGGTGACAACATTCGTAGAATGTTGTTCGATCTATCAGCAATCCTTTTATAGAAATCAAGAGTAAGCTTGAGGTTGATAGCCATTGGACAGGGGAGTCGCAAAGTTTTTGGTTGATAGATGACATTATTAAAGGCTCAAACTAAAATTGGAAATTTAATAATAACCATCCAATGCTATCTACCTTCTTGTCTTAATATCGTATTCAGTAGTTGAAGGATTATAAGCAATAAGAATCACACACAGATATCTTTTCCTACTAACTACTGCACCAAAGGCCTCAGTCATGTCTGTGAGATATATTTTATAATTGGCTAATTTCGTTGTCAAAACAAGTTCGAACGAGTTGTAATTTTTAGCTTTAAAATTTCAAAGATTAAAGATCAGATGTAGATTTAAAGAAGTTCAAGTGTTCATGGGTTACAACATTCCAAGATGATGAGAACAATGTTTTAGGAAGATATGTGAGTGAGTGAGAACACTTTAGGAAGTTTAAAAGGTTTAGGGAAACAAAGATTTTAATGTTGCCTCTTGGGAACCGGCAGGAGGATCTTTGAACCGGTAGCAAACCTTGGTCCATGCCGATCACACTTTGAAAGGGTTGGAACATTCAAGGAGTGTTATCTGATCTACCTGCTACTCTTCTACAAATATCAAGCATAAGCCTGAGGTCAAGTTGTTGTTGTACGGGGAATCGTAAAGCCAGAGGATTGTCAGCAATTGGTGTTTGGTAGAATGATAGGGTGTGAGCCAGAGTCAAAGTTCGGTGTACTTTGTTTCAAACATAGTGGATCGGTATACTTTAGACTGAATAGTCTATAAGGTTTTTCCCATGTAAACAGTTGACGTATTTTATCAACTAGGGTTTTTCTGCTAAAAATCCTGGTGCAATCTCTCTAAACTTTTACTTGCTTTACTTTATAGTATTTATATTTGTGATTGTGGATTGTTAAATTGATCATATAATTTAATCAATCATAAATTGAGCAAGTTGACCTAATAATCAGATCTAGGCCGTTAAAGGAGTTAATCACAATTAAAATCAACTAACTGTTTCCACATCCCGCATAACTCTATTTTCACAATGTCTAGATCTTTTTGTTCCTATCCCTCAGGAAGTTTCCAGTCAAAGTGATACAATAAATTTACAAGTGGAAGCTCAACATTAGCTACTCCAAATGACACGCCAGGACATATTCTCCTTCCAGCACCAAATGGTAGATATTGAAAATCAGTCCCCTTGTAATCAATTAAACTATCAAGGAATCTCTCTAGAAGAAAACTCTCTAGATCAGTCCAATTTTTGGGATCTCTACTAATTGCCCATATATTAACAATGACTTGGCTTTTAGCAGGTATCTCATATCCATTGATTTCACATCTCTCTCTACTCTATAGGTAGTAATAAAGAGAGAGGAGGGTGTAATCTCAGAGTTTATTTGATAACTAACTTTAAGTAACTCAATTCATGGAGGTTATCTTCATTAACAATATTTCATTTTGTACTTAAAACTTGTCTCACCTTGGCTTGTACCTTTTCCATAACTCTTAGGTTTTTCAGCAATTCTGACATTGCCCAGATTATAGTTGTAAATGATGTCTCAATCCCTCCACTGAACATGTCCTGAAAGAGCATAGAAATTGAGTTAAAGAATAAAGAATATAGAACAATATCATGACTTATAGGCTCCTATTATGCTCTTCTGCAACTCTGAGAGCTTGCCTTCAAAGACGTATTTTTGGGCATTAGCCACTTTGGGTGTTGGACTAGCTAATATCTTGAACATAATGTGTATATTGGTGTTTGAAGATAAAATTTTTAAAACTGAATTTTAGTATGTAAATAGGGTTTTGGACTTCAGCTCAGCAGGAGGTAAAAGTAATTTGTGAAACTTATTCATTGATATTGGTAGAAGCAGAAACTAAATGTACTAACCAGGAGAATTGACTTGGTATGTGCCATAGTTAAGGGGATCTTAATGTTACCCTTCTCTTGAACTTTTAGAATAACATCGACCAGGTCTTTATGATTAGCTTCACCATCATTGGTCTATGTTTCCACCTTCCTAGCTTTATGGTCATCAATGATGTTGGTAAATACCCTATCAAGTTTTGATGAAGTTTCTCAAGTCTAAGCCTCAGCCCAGTTATGAAAGCAAGCATTTTAACCGAAGGAAAGAGATCAGCAACCTTGAAACCTCCTGCTACAACCACGGCTTCCTTGATAAGTGATATGAATTCTTCTTGGCCTTGGAATTTCTTACCAATGGTTGCCTTTGCAGTGATGCTGTATGTCAACGACACAAGCTTTTCACTAAGATTAATCAGAGATCTTGTATGGGTCAAAATAGATTTGATCAAATTTAAGGTCTCTTCTTCCCCGATGGGTCAGAATGATTGGACACGTTTGACACTTAAAAGCTCCATTATGCAAAGTTTTCAAAGTTTTCTCTAGTAATCCCCATAAGGTGCGAGGGCAACGTCATACTTAGATATGATATTTATAGAAAGATTAAAAGGCCTGCTAGCAAAGACAATGTCATGTGTTTTCATCCCCTCTTTTGCAGTTTTTGCTAAAGAAATGACAACGATAGAAAGTTGTCCAAGTCGTAGGTGTATCAGAAGTCCATATTTCATGGCCAAATCTCTTAGGCACTGATGGGGTAGAGTTTCCATAAATTAGTGAATGTTTCCTATTAGAGGTAGCTTCCATGGTCCAGGAGGTAGTTTTGGAATTGAACTGATCTTAGTTTTAGATGCTATTTTAAATACCATGGACAGAAAGAGCAGGAATGTCAAAAGAATTGGGAAGGAAAGGATTGGGAGCTCCATCATCAATTGTAGAGCCACGTTCGAGTCTTCACTTATCTCCGTGGATCCTTGAAGTTTTGCAAGATCCTTTGAGCATTTTTAGTTTACTTTTCTAGGTTGTATACATGGTTCCTTTGTTTTATAAATGAAAATGCATTATGTTGATGATATTATTTTCCACATATAAAAATGTAAATATTTAACATTGAACTAAAATATATATATATATATATATATATATATATATATATACACACACACACATATATACACACATATTGATAAGAAACACACTTAGGCATGCAGTCACACACATTTTTCCCACACTCAGGCTCAAACCCCTCCCTTCCCTCAAAGGGGATCAAGAAAAATATTTAGATACATGTTGCACATGAAGTATGTACGAAATCGTTAATCAGACCTTTTGATAAGATTGAATTGTAGACATTTAGATATATAAACTTTATTGATATTTCATATGCACCTTCAAATATCATTTTTTATCTGCATCTTCTACAATATAAGATATAGATAAACCTTCTTAATTAGACACAATTTTGAATATCATGAATAGAGTGAGCAGGAAAGTGAAGAGAATTGGGAAGGAGAGGAATGGCAACTCCATCAGCAAATGTAAAGCAGTGTCCAGATTTTACTTCTCTCAGCTGTAGAATTGCTTTTATATCCAGATTTATCCATTTTTAAGTTCTCATTTTTGAGTTGTGTCCTTTGTTTTATGAATAACGATGCTTAGAGTTCTATATATATATATATATATGAATTATTGTTATTTAATCAGGAAGGGCTGTGCTACATTCTCGCCTTCTAAAGTGGAATGGCGAGGATTGAAGTTTGAAGTTCTGTTCGAGGCAAAGTGAGTTATTGTGTTTTTTTCCAAGATAAAAAGGTAAATAAAAAAAAATATTGTAAATGGATCCTGAGGAGGACTTATGGAAGATTGAAATGAAGTATAGATATATGTGCATTGAGTTATATACATATCATAATGGTCATATAAATCATACATATGGTTCAGATATGTCCAAAAGTAAGTGGATTCAGAAAAATTATTGGAAGAACTGGAGAAGCAGATTGTGGAGGGAAAAATCCCCCTCGCCAATAAAAATTAGCCATGTCATTAAAATAAGTCAAAGGCTAAATTCTTCTCCAAACTAGCCCATCAAAGCCCAAATTAAAGTCGCTGTTGACCCAAGAGTATTCATATTAACCTCATAATCCGTGGGCCAGCCCATTCACATCCAATTCTAGTTCAATTGGATCAAAGTCTTTTTACTTTAAAGATTCTACGTAAAAGGAAGTTCTGTGTAGAGGAAACCTTGTATGGAAAGAACTACGAAAGGGAAGAACTATGTAGGTAAAAAGTTGTATATGGAATGAATTGGAGGACAAGCTGGCCGAGTCCTACCATAATTTCATCGTCTTTTTGTATATAAATAGAGGCATAGACCTCCAATAAAGATCATCGAGCATTACAAGCTTCTCTCTGAATTATTCTTGTTAATTACTCTTTTATTTTGAGTGAGTTGTATCTATTCCTTTGACTTTTTAGTCAAACGAATTATTTGCACCTACACTTTGGCGCCGTCTGTGGGAAACTTTTAGAAATATATTCCTATGGGTGAATTGAAATCTTTTATGCTATTACAATCCGGGATGTCAATCGAAGGAGCCGCAGCCGTAGCCGATCAACAAATGGAACTAATGCAAAAGATGCAAGAAGAGTTCTTGCAATAGTTCGAGACCCTCCGTCAAGCAAATGAGGCCAGTGCAGCCCAGATTGCGTTGCTTCAGCAGAAGAACGATGCTCTCCAGACAGCTATGGCGCAGATAGCACCATAGTGACTACCAGGCAACGCAGTAGGAGCTCTCCCCAACCACAATATTCCTCCTATTGATGAAGCTCAAGCTAACGAGAGTTAATAAGAGCAGCAGGCAAGAACCGAGGCAGTAGCTTCGGGTAACCATCCTTGTCACGCACAAGATAAACAGGATGAATCCAGCCGTAAGCTCACATTGTGGACAAATGGTGTCCAAGATGGAGCCCAAGAGATCTTTGACAAGAAGAACCTCCTAAGGATTCAGACGCCTGTCGAGATGGCCAGGGAGTATAAAGCCTCTCTGGTGAAGACTTTATTCACTGATTAGATATACTACGTTAATAGACCTAAAAAATTTACCATGTCAACTTTCACTCAGTTCGATGGCACAGGAGATCCCTCCCGTCACCTCAATCACTACCCTTAGAAGATAGCTCTGGATAACCACAACAATGCATTCATGTGCAAAGTTTTTTCAACTACTCTGACAGGAGCTGCACTGGAATGGTTCAAGAATAGGCCACATAAGTCCATTCCAAACTATGAAACTCTGTGCGCTATGTTCTTAGTGCAATACTATGGTAATAAGAAGTAAAAAAAGACTATCGCTAGCCTCTTTACTATAAGGCAAAAGAGAGGTGAAACGTTATAGGATTTTCTGTCTAGGTATAACAGGGAGGCCTCAGAGATAGCAGATTGTCACCCTGACACTGCTGTGGAAGCATTCAAGATAAGCATGATCCAAGGGACTAAGTTCCATACCTCTTTAGTCAAATACTCCCCTCTAGATATGCAAACTCTTAATGCCAGGGCACAAGTTTACATTCGGTTTGAAGAAAATGTAGCTCACTGAGCATAACATGCCACCTTCGTTATAGTAGAAAATAATCCTCGGGAAAAAAGCTTCAAGTTCAAAGAGTTAGAGAAGTCAGTATACCTCAGCACCAGTTGCTCAGCTACTTGAGAAAAGACTGAAGAATGAGGACAGAGTGACACCTCTCCGAACCACATTGGCTCGATTATTCCAAGAGAACAAAGTAAGATTCACAGCCCCTCAGCCAATACGATAACCCCTGGAGTAGAAAGATAAAAACATACATTGCGCATATCACAGGGACTATGGGCATACAACCAATGACTGTAGATCCCTTCGGCGACAGGTGAAAAGCATGATATCCAAAGGAGACCTAACAGACTATCTCGGGCTGAAGGAACAGATAAGGCCAAGGGAGGTTAATCCTCGAAAGGTAGAAGGTAATCAAGTAAAGGTCATTCATGCAATCCATGAAAATTCGGATGAAAACCAAGAATTAGAAGAGGTGTACCGATCCAGACTGAGGGTCATCCACAAGTTAAGGAAGTTATCCTCAGTGAATACTATCACTTTGGGCAGTATTAGCATCAGATTCAGAAATGGGGATTTATCCAGAGTTTAGCTTCCCCACGAAGATCCGCTTGTTATCAGTCTTCTGGTAGTAAACTGCATGATCAAAAGGGTCTTGGTAGACCCTGGAAACAGTGCCAATATTATTAGAGATTCCATCGTTGTCAATTCGTGCTACCTCTAGTCATTTGATGGGATTCGACGGAACAAAAGTGGATCCTATTAGGGTAATCAATTTATCAGTCACTACTGCAAAAAGGACACTAAAAGAAAACATTGTTTTGATTGAGATTCATCCTTCTTACAATCTCATCAGGGGAAGAGGTTGGATTCACCGAATGAATGGAGTATCGTCTACTCTATATTAGGTGATTCGACGCTTATCTCCGGATGGAAAAGAAGTCATTAACCTTTAGGGAGATCAAGTTACTATAAAAGAGTGTTATACGTTGACACTAAGAGAAGCAAAGAAAGGAGTTAAGACAATCAGACCAAATGCAGCCCCTGAAGGTGTTGCTAAATAACAATTACAGAGCCCTCTGCCCGAGTATGCAGAAGCCAAGGAAGAAATGGTGATGCCCACCGAGGAATCTCTTGAAGCTGTAGAGGTTATCCTCGGTAATTCACAGAAAGTCACTTATATGGGTTCATCCCCCTCAGTTGAAGAGATGGAGGTGTTGATAGATGTTATCCGAATAAATATAGATACATTCGAATGGATCCACTCGAACATGACAGGAATCAACCCTTCAGTATCATGCCATAACCTAAAAGTGGATCCTTCATATAGAGTAGTCAAGCAAAAGCATAGGAGGTTTGCTCTCGAAAGAAACTGAATCATTGCTGAAGAAGTCGACAAATTGCTTCAAGTGGGTTTTATCATGGAAGTGCATTATCCACAGTGGCTTTTGAACATAGTTGTGGTCCAAAAGAAGAACAAAAAATGGAGGGTATGTATAGATTTCACTAATCTAAATAAGGTTTGCCCCAAAGATAGTTTCCCGTTACCAAAGATAGACCATATGGTGGATGCTACCATAGGCTACAAGAGGTTAACATTCCTTGATGCATACTCTGGGTACAATCAGATTCCCATGAATCCAAAGGACAAAGAAAAAACATCCTTCATTACAGAGAAGGGAACCTATTATTACAGGGTTATACCCTTTGGCCTTAAGAACGTCGGGGGAACTTACCAGCACCTCCTCAGTAAGATCTTTAATGAGATACTGGGCAAGACCATTAAGGCTTATATTAATGACATGGTGGTCAAAAGTGAGAAAAATGAGGATCACCCAATACACCTTCAAGAAGTTTTCGATACTCTAAGAAAATATAATATGAGGTTGAATCCCTCCAAATGCTCCTTTATTGTTTCTTCAGGACAATTCCTTGGACACATTGTTAATAAAATAAGGATAGAGGTAAGCCCGGCTCAGGCCCAAGCCTTAGTGCGGAATCAGAAGTCAAAGACTCACAGAAAAGTACAAATCCTAATGAGCAGAATAGCATCTCTCAGTCGCTTCATATCCCGATTGTTTTATAAGTGCAAACCTTTATTTGATGTTATACGCTCAAAAAACAACGACATATGGGGACCTCATCAGCCAAAAGCTCCGGCTAGATTAAAGTATTACATGACTAAACCCCCTAATCTGTGCGCCCCGAAGCCTGAAGAAATTTTAATCATGTATTTAGCAATTTTTGACATAGCTACAAGTGCAGTTCTGATCCAAGAGGAAGGGGGAAAGCAGTATCCAGTCTTCTACATAAGCAAGATGATGACCGATGCAGAAACAAAATGTAGCAAGGTCGAGAAGATCATGCTAGCCTTAGTGTAGGCAAAGAGAAAGCTTCGGCATTACTTTGAGTCTCATCGTATAGCGGTCCTCACAAATTATCCTATGCGGGCCATCCTCTTTAAGCCAAATCGGTCAGGAAGAATTATAAAATGGGAATCGAGCTTAGTTCTTTTGACATAGCTTACGAGCTGAAGGTGTCACACAAAGGACAAACAATGGCTGATTTCCTCCAGGAGTATGAAGACAAGGTTGAAGAGTTAGAACTCCTAGAACCACAGTGGGAACTCCATGTTGATGGTTTCTTAAACTTAGCTAGTGCTGGGGCAGGGATCATCATCACAACTCCAGAGGGAACGAAGTTGCAACAGTCAATCCATCTGGACTTTCCTGCTACCAACAATGAAGCGGAGTATGAAGCCTTGTTAGCTGGGCTTCGGCTAGCAAGCCAACTCCAGGTAAAATGTCTGAAAGTTTTTAGTGACTCACAACTCATTGTAAATTAAGAAACATGAAAGTATCAACTAAAGGAAGAAAGAATGAAGGCGTACAAAGAAGCTATTGAAAGTGCTAAGCGTGGGTTTGATCAAATCGAATTTCACCAAGTGCCAAGAGAAAAGAATTTTGAAGCAGACAGGCTAGCTACAATAGCTTCTTCTTCGGATGAAGATTTGGTCTGTATCGTGCCTATTGACACCTTGGAAGAGCCTAGTTTAGGTTCTCAGCTGCCTGTTGATGAGCGCTGAAAAGTGCGTATTTAAACCCCTTAAGCTTAGGCATTCTAGTACCTTTACCTATCTTACTTTACCGTTTTAGATTGATTTCGTATTATTTCCATTTTCAGGCACTTATCCCGAAAATAATTTAACTCAGCCAAATAAGAGCTTAATTGAAGCAATTCTAGGATTAAACAAAGAAAGGAGTAAAGTGGAGAAAGAAAGAAGCAAATGAAGCCAAAGGTGGGAAGCAGCAAAGTTCGATCGATCCAACTTCAAGGTTCAATCGATCAAACACTGATCGATCTCAGTACTTCAAGATAGATCCAACCCTTGACCCAAAGCAGAAAGTCTAAAGTTTGATCGATCCAACACCACCCTTCGATCGATCGAACACTTTTGTCCTTATTCAAATGATTGATCTTTTCCACAGCTGTACCACCCACTAACCACTTTTGTCCTTTTCCCATTTATCTCTCCCAAAATATCTCAAATTTGTCTTTTCTCAAAAAGCTCAACCAGTTGGATCGATCCAGCCTCAATTCGATAGATCTCTACCAAGTTCGATCGATCTAAGTCCAAGGTTCGATCGATCAAACTTCCTCTAGTGCAAAAAAGTTAAAAAGTCAGCTTGTTCAATTCGTCCTCTATCTAATCATTAGAGAATATTCTTTGCACGACCCTAGCTCATTTTGTGTGTCACTTGACCTACCTATAAAAGGAATATGATGCACTTTTTGAGGGGGAGACTTAGCATTTGGTAGATACAACTTTAGAGGCTATTCTTAGTGTAGAAGAAAAGGAGGAGGAGGCTAGAGACACCATTAGAGTTCTTCATCAACAAGGAGCAGATCTCTTCCATGGAGTTAGCCTTTAAGGGTTGGAGCAACATCACCACAAGTGGCTAGACATCCTCTTGGGGCTAGAGTTAGCCCCAAGCATGCTTTTTATATCTTAATCTTGTGTATTATTGAGCGATTAGTGTTGTAATTAATGTTTTGACACTTTGATATATATAGATCTTGATTGTTCAATGATTTATGTGGTTAAATGCTTTCAATTGATCATTTCATTCTATCCATATGTCTATGTATGTTAGAATAGATGTTCATGTGCTTGTCTCTAGATTTTATGTTATTGATGTATGTCTATGTGTATTGATGCTATAGATCTAGAGATTGTCAAAACATAATGCTTAATGGAATGCTCTTGTGATTTTCTTGATGGTTCATACTTGTTCCTTGATGGATTGTGCCTCTCCCTTAGTTTATTTTCATGCTAGTAGTGTAGATGTAGTGTAGTTGTAATGTAGTGTTAAATAGGAGGACAATTCATGCTTGTTGTTTGATGATCCATGCTTTAAATGCAAATAACATATATCTCTAACCTTGTGTTGTATTTGGATTGTGAGCTTAATGAAAGGATTAATGACTTGTTTTGATCTATTGTGCCTTTCACATGTTGTCTAGACAATATATGCTTCATTGCTTAGATATATTGTGCCTTTCACATGATGTTTAGACAATACATGCTTAACTAGTCATCCTTGCTTGTTGAATCAACCAAATACACACACACACCAATATTGCAACACACCATTTGCCCTCATTAGTTACTTGTCAATGGTACAGAAATGCATTGCTTGGTGGTGATCTCTAAACCCCAAGACTCTTTTCTTTCTTCTTTGCTCTTAGTTGCATGCTTTTGTTATCACTTAGTTTAATTTAGTTGCTCTTTAATCTAATAGACCAACTAACAAATTGTTTGATCACTCAACCTACTAGCCCTAATAGCGATTCCACAACCTTGTTCGACCCTCACAATCCCTTGGGACAATCCCTACTCGCCCTAGCTATATTTATAGTGAAAGGTAGTAGTGGCTTTTATAAATGTAAAACTCTTGGCCCTCGCCTAAAATTCAGACTTTCAAACTTGATGGTGTAGGATGACGAGAACACTGGTCACCTATAATGGTAATCCCAGAGATTCCAAGAGAACTGAGCTAGATGGACCAACTGGAAAGCTATCTCAATGACGGAATCCTTCCAGACCGAAAGGATGAAGCCAGGAACGTAAGGTTCGCGGCTGCCAAGTACTCAATCATTAATAACC